CTGCCATGAGGACTGAGGTGGAGGTGATAAAGCATTGGCCTTGGGAGTCAGGAAGAGCTGAACTCGAATTTCGCCTCAGCCTCATTACTGTGGGATGGACCCTAGGCAATTCACCTCATCCCTCTTAGCCTCATTCTGCCCCTATAAAACAGCGATGATAACAGCACCGTCCTTCCAGGGTTGTTGTGAGGATCAGCTGAGATAATATATGGAAAGTCTTTGCAAACATTCATGTGTTATACATTAACCATCATAACTACTAGTCATTGCTTGAATTTGTGAAAGTTTCTTGGTCTCTTGATCTTCTGTGAAATGGGTTCTTTGTATTAGATGATTCCTCAGGCTCCTTCTAGCTTGAAAGCCTAGAATCTTTCTTAAAAGTAATGCCAGTGTCCTGAACCATCAGATTCTCTGAGGGAGATAAGTCCATTTACTCTTCCCCACTGCCAAGTCAGTTCCAAGGGTCATAATGATCACACAAGAGTTAAATTGTAGTTGTTCCTCATCCTTTTTTATTTTTCAAAGAATGAAAAACAGTACAAAGAATACAATGAAGAGGTAAGTGGCAAGTGAACAGTCTGGACTTCTGTGTAAAATACCCCGAGGGTTTTTTCTTCCTTCCACCAGCTGGTTGGAGGACAGTCCAACCCAACTGGTCCTTACACTTAGGTCTGTTATGTAAGAAGATTGTCTGAAACAGGAAGTGAGGGATGACAGAGGGGGTGGGAAAAAGACATTGACATTCAAAAACCTTTCAAACCACTTGAAAGTTAAACATAATATACACAGTACCCTCCCCTCCCCATCCTAGTACAAAAATAGTGTCCAGAAACTATATATTTGTTCCAATACTTTGAAAAAGTATAAGAATACAAAGAAATACTAACAGTGGCTAGTGATGGTTCTTCGTGATCTAAAAAAATTAAACTATTACGTAATTTATTTTTAAAAAGTATTTACACTTTCAGCTACATTCATTAAAACATGTATACACAGGCTTTTGGTAGGTGTAGGGAGGGGGAAGGTGAGTCCAATGCTTTCTTCCTTTCTCTATATGGCAGAGCAAAAGGGGTCTGGGAAGGTGCTTACAATACCAGCCAAATATTTAACATCCTGGGACAGTGACTTTGACTTCCAAGTGTATGACTCTGAAGAGCCACAATCTGGTTTGTGGAGGGGAAAATACCCAAACAAGCAACTCTGTGTAGTGGGATATTGGACAGGCCTGCCTGCCTTAGCAGCCTTTGACCCTAGAGGATGATGGGGATGGTGAATCAGTGTCCCATTTCCAGGCTTGTCCTAAGAAAGGTCTCATGAAACTTCATAGCAAGCACTTAATAAATGCTTGGGAGTGGTGGTGGAAAAACAGAAAGAACATTATCTGTCCTAGTTTCCACTGAAAGTCGTCATCAAAGTTAGGAACAGATAAATCTCCAAAGGGGACCTTTGTCCCCCAGAAAGTACTCCCTTCCACCCTCCCTCCCGGGTACCCACTCAGAGGATTTGATCAATTGCAGAAGAGGGCAGCTATCCCATGGTTGCAGCATCCTATTTCAGCCATCCAGGGAAAAAACAACCCAACCACAACATTGCTGACAAATATTACAGTATATATCATATATCAATAGCAAGATCTAGCAGAAATGGGGGGGGAAGTTAAAGGTGGAGAAATCAGATCTGATGAAAAGCATTGAGCTGTGAACAAATTGAGAAATCCAAGCCCTCCAGCTCCTGCATTACACACTTCAAGTCAGCAGTGCAGCAGAGAGTATACAGTTATGTTAATTTCCTACTCTCCCTCCCACCGCACCCCCTCCTTGCTCAGTATTTAATATTTTCTGTAGCCATTTTTGTCTCATTTTGAAGGGGAGATCAATCGGTGGTGACCACCTCATCATTATCCTTAGGAGTTTGTAAAAGTTTCATCCTTACCAAATATCTACAAGTGAAGTATGGGAAAAGTATTCTCAGCTTTGCAAAGACTGGGAAATCTACAAGGACATAAGAAAGGTTTCATTAGACCAATGTCCTGTATTCAGTTTTTGACATTGGCAGTTTTGAGGGAGAATATGGCAGCTGCCCACCATGCTGCTGTCTTCAAAGACGTCAAGTGTATAGGTTCCCAAGCATCCCTAGTTCCATTTACAAAAGTTCCCTAGTTCCCTCAGGCACAGAGTGATTCAGCAATCTGTACAAATCCCCACAAGAAGGAAAACACCAATTCTATGAAACTACTGAAATTCTATGAAAAAAATCCTATGAAAAAGCCAGGCCATTTTACCAGACAGTAATGGCACATTTCTCTCAGCTTTCGCATCTGTTATACTTGCTACAATATAGCAGAAACATTTAGAATGTGCGCTTTATTTAGTTTTTAGGGAAAACATTGGTCAAGGCTCTGCAGAAGGTGCAAGACAAAACCTGCACAAGAATTGTAGAGGTTGAGAAGGCAGGGGCCTACAGGGGCAGCAGGAGCACACACGATGATGAAATCACAGAGCTTTAAGGATCAAAGTAGGACAAAAAAAAATGAGCTTTTGTTGTCTGCACTGGGAAGAGAATAGGAAATGGACATTCGCATTAGCAGCTAAAATTCTGCCGATTTGCGCCCACTTCTCACAGATTGCATGAGTCTGCTGATAGATGTTATTTAAGGGGTCACCGTAGCTAAGGTCACACAAGGCTGGCTGTGGGGGGGGTGAATTTTGGGTTCTGGCATTCCCTGAATTATAAACATGTTGAGCTCTGCTTCAGGGCTGGGCTTGTCTGCACTGAGGATATCAGAGCTACTTAATGTACTGAAGTATGATGGAGCGGAAAGAGCACTGGCCATGGAATCAACAAGATCTGGGTTAGAATTCTGCCTCAGACACACACTAGCTGTGTGACCCTGGGCAAGTCACTTAAACTTTCTGGGTCTCAATTTGCTTATCTGTAAAGTAAGGAGTTGGACTGAATAATCTCTGAGGTGTAATTCTGGGACACTAAATAGCCCAGCTAGACGGTCCCTATTTTGGGCAACAATAAAGCTTGTTAACTTTGAAATTAACTACTTCAATGGAAAGGAGTAAGGGAGCACTTTCAACTTCTGTATGAACCATGGTCTCCAATGGAGAAATATCATCTAGGAAGAGCATCTCCTAATTTCTGGGACTCAAAAGTGGGAAAACGGCATTAGACTGTATCCACATACAAGTTAGACCTATCTTCATTCTAACAATAATTGCCTACAAGGCAACCTCTCAAAAATCATCTTTGTTTAGGTGGGAAGGGTCTAAACCAAAGGAAAATGAGAATAAGTCATGTTATTCTGATTTCCTCAGTGCAGACTTGGGTGTGGATGAGATTCTGAAGGCGGTCCTAGTACAGGGTCTATGATGTGGCTTTTTTCTAAGATGATGTGATCTTAGAAAACTTCCCCATTCTATAGAAGAGGAAACTGAGGTTCAGGATCCAAGGTCACGTAGATATGAAGTGTCAGAAATGATGGTCACTTCTGGAGAGATGTGCCAGCAGACCTAGTTAACGAGCTCTGAGTGGCAATCCAAAGCATTTACAAGTTCTGTCATTAAAGGCAAGGGTCACAACTCTTATCTCTGCAAAATGTCATAAAGATAAACCAAACCCCACTGTACTACAGTCACAGCAAGTGCACCGGTGAGCAGCTTGGAGCTTACCAGAGTATTTTACAGTCTGACACAGAGCCAACTATGATTATCGAAGGGGTACCTAAGGAAACATTAACTTTTGCCAAAATCACGAGAAATTTGTATCTATATATCATTTATGAGTAAGATCATGGTACCCAAAGTACTTCAAAAATTAAGTTCCATTTTGAACTTTATGTAAATGCCTATGTGAAAGAGCCATGAGACGTGTTTGGAGGAAATGGTCTTCTTGTACGTCATCATTATGATGCTGGTGTGGCAAGGTGGGCTGCCAGGGGCCAGACGTGAAGTCAGGAAGAGTCCTGCCTCTGATACTTACTGATGGTGTGACTGTGGACAAGTCACTTAACTTTGAAGTGCTTCTAGGCAACTGCCTAAAAGTGTGAGTTATAGGTGAATGAGCAATCTGCCTTGGGAGAGGGAGCTTCTACGCTGGAAATTCTCTATATGGAAGGTCTGAACTAGAAGAAAAACCAGCTTTCCCAGGCCTTTCTGACTAAGGGGTGATGGGAACTGTGAGCAAACACATCGAAATGGCTGGGAAGCTCCAGGCCTCCTCCTGTCCTTCGTTCTGCATGCCTGCTTTCCCAAGGCACCGGTGAGCTCATGGAGAGGGGCTCAAGGGCACGCATATGGAATGAGAACTGCCTCTGACCCCACCGAGGAAGATTATTTATACATGTGAAGTATTGCGGGAGAAAGATGGCAGCCAAGTCACATAGTCTGAAGAGGTATGGAGAACTGGGTCATTACTGGGGGCAGAAGCCCCTGAGGCAATTCCTCCAGGTCCACTGATCCCAAAGACTGAAGCAACTCACTTCCATATGGCTCAGGGTTCCTTTTACGGCCAGGGGACTCAAACGGCCTATTCTGCTATTTCCCTTTGACCCCCGAGAGCATCACAATATGGGTAGCAAAAGGAGATCATGATGACCCTAATAGTTATTGAAATACAAGGATTGGCTGTGCTCTCTGAGCTGCATTAATGACGAAAGCCCCATCTTCCAGCAGCCTCCTGGGACTCCTTTCTAAGTGAAAGGGGAAGAAATGGTTGCCTTTCCACCCTACCTGTGGCCACCTTCACTCAGGACAATGTTGGATTGCTATTACCTTGAATTCACTCTTTTATTTTGAGATTTACATTACTGAAATTTAATTTTTCAAGATACAAGATGTAAGACTCTTTTTAAAGAGGGAAAGGTGATTTTGCAGTGCCCAGTGGAAAGAGAGGACTTCCTGAAGTTTATTCAAAGATTCCTTCTTGGGGCAGCTAGGTGGCACAGTGGATAGAGCACCAGCCCTGGATTCAGGAGGACCTGAGTTCAAATCCGACCTCAGACACGTAACACTTACTAACTGCATGACCCTGGGCAAGTCACTTAACCCCACTGCCTAACCAAAAGATTCCTTCTCCCTCAGACATCTGCAATGTAACCTTTCTCATTAAAAAGCCAACTAGCTACGTGACCCTGGGCGAGTCACCTGCTGCACACCTTGATTCCTTTATCTATGAAATGAAAGGGTTGGCTGTACTCAGTGCCCTCTATGGACCCTTCTAACTCTGGACCTATGGACTCAAGTTCAAATTCCTCTTCTGACGCTTACTACCTGCGTGACCTTGGGAAAGTCACTTAGCTTCCCTGGGCCCCACTTGCCTTATCTGTAAAATAGGAGAATTGGAGTAGGGGGCTTCTGAGTCCTCTTCATCCTCTAGAAGTATGGCCCTATGGATGTAGGTTCGAATCTTGCCCCTGATGTCTATTACTTGTGTGACCTTGGACAAGTCACTTAGCTGTGGGGGCCCGTGACCATAGCTTTAAAATGCGAGGGCTGGATCAAATGGCTTCTGAGATCCCATCTGACCATAATGAGTGTCTTCCGTGTTTCCCTTCACTATAGATCACAAGGCACGTCACAGCCTTCCCAATAGTCTAGAATCCTGAAAGTTGTTGAGTTGAGACGTGGTTGCGATTGCTGATAAACGCGTCTCCCAAATCCCCGCAATCCAACCCTGTCCAAAATCAGTCCTGAACAACAGCCTCCTCTCCTCTGTGTTTGCTAACACCAAGGAATGGATGGGTGATCCTGGCTCCCCTAGGAAGGGAGAGAAGTGGCCAAGCATTCTTGAAGAGCTGCGCATTCAGCCACAGCACAGACCACCAGGGACGCGTGGACCAGCCCGGGGCCAAAGGTTAACCGGAGCCTCCCCAGACCTCCAGACCTCCGCTGCCGGACCTTAGCATCAAGACCGGTCTTCCGCCAACTGTGGCCATGGTGGGCAGGGCGGGCCACCTCCCTTCAGTGGTATGAAGACACATCCAGACGATACACACCAGGCCCCCCAAACACGTCACACTATTCCCTTCAACGTTGTGCAAAAATAAAACCAAACGTTAAAAAAAATACAGCAGTGGCAAAAGATATACCCAACTCCTACAGTGTCTAGGAAAGGTCCGTATCACAAAATAGGACATCTTCTGTGTAAACGTAAACTCTGCGTGCTCGTCTGCCAGAGGGTCTCAGTTCAGTTTGGGTTGACTGCTCTCCCCGTTGAGCAGGCTCTTCTCCTGCTGCTCCGCCAGGGCCTGCCATTTCTGCCTGTTCTTTCTACAGCCATCGAGCAGTGGGAAGCAGGCCTCTGAGACGTGGACCAGGGCCTGAGGAGAGAAGCACAGATCAGACAAGTAGAAAGAGGCGGCCAGAGCCCTTGCCCCCAAGCCTCAAGTCAAGGGCTGCAGCCCCCACTTGGTGATTTGGGAGGAGGGCTCCTGATGGACTGATCAGAAATTCTGTGGAAATGTACGGACACTGTCAAGCTTGGGGACAGCCTGGGAAGCAGCCTGCATCGTGGATGGGAAACCAGACTTAGAGTCAGGAAGACCCGACACGCTGCCTCTGAGGCTTACGAGCTGTGGGACCCTGGACAAGTAATTTAACTTCTCCTGATTTGTCATCAAGAGTGCACAACGTTCTCTAAGGGCCTTTCCCTTTACAGATGTATGACCCTAGGACAAAAGGACAAAAACATGAAGAGCATCGTCTCTCTCATGCGTCCATGCATGTGTGTGTATACGTGAATACACACACACACACACACACACACAATGATCCTGCTGGAGAAATGGCGCCTCTGCTCTGTCCAGGCCCTGCTGTGAGGCCTCATGGCATTGGGGTCCAGCTGAGCACAAACTGTAGCAGGTCCTGCTGAGCTAAAGGCTTCAAGGGTGGGGGGTTGACTAGGGGTCTTCCTGAGAATGAGATGGGGTAGGTTCTGGGAGGCTCATCAGCCAGCTGGTCCTCCCAGGGAGGCCCCAGGGAAACAGGGGCCTACAGTTCCAGGATGGGGGATATTTAGATGCCTCCGGGCCAGTGCTGCTTGATTTGTAGGTGGAGAAGTGAGCTTGAGAACTAGGAGGGAGAGTGAGCAATTCCAGTGAGAGGATGGCCTGGCCCAAACTGCAGAGAGGGGCTGCATTTGGGAAGAAAATATGAACTGAGGGAGGTTTTGTGGTTGTAGGTGGGATTTGAGGGAGCGAGAGAAGAGACAGAAGAGAGGGGGGAGAGAGAGAAGAGTGCAGAGAGACATGGAGAAAGGGGAGGACCGTGGATCACAGATTTAGAGGTAGAAGAAATCTTGGGAGTCATGAAATACAACTGCCTCATTTTACAGATGAGGAAACTGAGGACCCGAGGAGGGGGGAAGTGATTTGCCCAGTGTCACAGACCTAATAAGTGTTTGAGGCAGAATTAGAACCCAGGGCATCCCGTCTACAAGTCCGGTCCCCTCCTCACTATGCCATGCTGCCTCTAACCAGCAGCCACTTGCAAGGCTTAAACGCTCGAGCCCTGGCACCCAAAGAAGAAAGGTCAGATCAGAAGAAATAGCTGAGCTAAAGCTGACCTAGGAGGTAGAATTCGAACCCAGGGCTCCTGGCTAAAGCAGTGCTCTTTGCACCACCATATCCTCTGTAACAATGAAGCTTCTGTCGTAAAAATTCACTGTTTTCTTTAGTCTGAGGCTACGATGACTATGATGGTCAGTAACTCCTTTCTCCCTTTCTGTCACATTTAGTACTGTCTTTTTTCTTCACCAGAGAATTAAAAATAAGTGAAATGGGAATTCTATAGATTAAATACCAGCTTCATTGACTCATGGCACAGGGACACTTCCCGGGGGTAGGGGGGGCCTGCCTATCAGTCATTGGGATGCAGATCAGGAAAGGAAGAGGTACAAACACATCCACCAGGGAGAGCTGTAGAGTGAGTCATTTGGATTAGAGGCGAGACTGTCGTGGGAGAGGGATTGAGAATGTTGGGATATCTTTGGCCACACTTCTGGTGGAGAACTTGGCAGCAAGGGGGCAGGGAGGAAGGCTGAGAAAGAAGGAGGAGGTCTTCACTCCTTTCCTTCCTGCCTTTCTGGCTTTGGGCTAGTTACCTGGCTGAGCCTTCTCTGTAACATGGCGGTGGTGGTGGGGAATAAATGAATGCTAAAGGACTCTTCTGGTGTGGGGAGCCCTTTCTGCTTTGGTTCCTTTTGCCTTTTGCCTTATTATGCCACCTTCTCTTCTCTGTGTGCTGGCTTTTTGGTCAAACACCAACAGCCATGGTTGGAAAAGGCCATTGGCCTGGGAAAGGCAAGGGATTGGGTCCTAGAGTTCACTCTGAGACCTTAGACAAGTTATTTAACCTCTTGGCCTTGGTTTTCCCATTTTTAAAATGAGGCGGTTGGGTTAGCTGATGTGGGACATTTGGGGCATGTCCATATTTCTTCTTGGGACTCAATCTCCTTATCTGCAAAAAGAGAGAGTTAAGCCAGATGGTCTTGGCTTACCCCGCAAGCGTTAGCAAATTAAGAATTACAATTAGGAGAAATCTATCTTTCTCAATACACACAGAGCTTGTTTCATTTGGGTTGTTGCTGGGGCTAAGCTCAAAGACACCCCACTTGTAATACACGACCCAAGTATTGCTAAAATGAGTTTATATAGAAACATTTGTGTATAAACACTTTTATATGTGTTCACACATGTACACACAAAGTACCCACAAGTACATTCATACTCATATGAACACACATAAAATACACATGAATATATACACACGTTCTATGTTTTTACTAATTTCTACTTTTACATGAATTTATTTGCATGTGCATTTCTGTATGCATGTGTATATATAGTACAGAGAGTATTTAACACTAGGAGATCCTTACATGGACGAAATCGCAAATCTTGATCAAAAAAGAAGATATCCTGAGCCCTTCTGAGTAATGATGATGGGAAATGGATCTGTGTGTATGTATTTATATATATATACATGTATGTATATGCATACCTATATGTATATACACATGTATATACATAGATGTATGTATATGTGTGTATACACACATACACATACATATATGTATATACACATGTGTATATACACACATACACACCATCAAAATGAATGGCAGTAATGAGTAAAAGGCAAATAAGCCTGTCTCGTGACTGGATTAATTAAGCATAGAAGGGAGCATGTAGCCTTAGTCCTAGAAATTAACTCCAATTCTAATTCCCAACCTAACAAGTATGACAGACTGGGAGATGCTGTGGAAAGCACCCTGCATTTGGGACCAGGAGTTCGAATCCCAGGCCTCACACTTGAAAATGTAGAAGCAATTCTTACTTCACACTGGGGCATCTTGAGTTCAATAACGTGCCTGAAGAGCGACTCAAAATTAGCCAAACTTAGAATCCTTCATGTAGTGTGCATCATTGAACATTGCATTAACAAACTGTTTCACTCTGGAAAAATCACCTGACCTCTCTAAGCCTCAGCTTCCCATCTGTTAAATGGGGTTGATGATACATGTACCTCACAGAGTTAGAGATCTAGTTTTGAATTCCAGATCTGATATGTCAGCAGCAGCAGCAGCACCACCACCATCATCATCATCACATCACCAAAATCATCATCATCATCACCATATGATTATCGCCACCATCATCTTCACCATCGTCATTATCATCATCACCACCACCACCATCATCCCCACCCCACCCTCACCATCACCATATGATTATCACCACCATCATCATCTTCACCATCATCATCATCATCAACATCACCACCATCATCATCACCACCACCACCATCATCCCCACCCCACCCTCACCATCATCATCACCATATGATTATCACCACCATCATCTTCACCATCGTCATCATCATCATCATCATCAACATCACCACCACCACCATCATCCCGACCCCACTCCCACCATCATCATCACCATTGTTATCAACACCATCATCATCATGGCCAATATTCACAAAGCACTTGAAGGTTTTCAAAAGGCTTGGCATGTCACCATCTTACTGGATCCTCATTTGATGAATAGATGTTGTTCCAGTGGCCAACTGGTTAAACCACCAGTGAGCAAAGTCAGCCTGGGTCCAAACCAGTGTAGGTCCAAGGACAAAGTATGACAATACTCCTGGAGGTCCATGGGAAGCAGCGAAAACGGAGTTCAGTTTCTTGTCCAACCCTTGGGCTGGGTGAGAGGTGTGCCCACATTCTAAAGATTAAAGATTAGTTGGCTGGGAATTAGGAAGGAAAAGATGGTAAGGAAGCCTTCTAGCCACCTACAAGGAATAAAGGACAAAAGGAATTGGGCTTCTCAAGAATTAATGATGTCTCTAGTGAGAAGGGCGGGAGTCATATGGATGCAGGATAATGTCTACAGAATGAGATTAAACAATAACTAAGGTATTAAAAGATATGACTAAATCGAAAGGTGATACGTAAGGTATTAAGGCATAAGATATTAAGCAATAACTGATGTTTGGGGAGGAGCAAGCAGTGTCAATCATCATGAGGATGGAACGGAAGGGGCACGGCGTCCAAGGAACGCCCAGCTCTGTATCTAGAGGAAAAGCTGGAAGAAGGCCATGCTAGTTCTATGTCAGAGCTGAGCCCCACAGCTATGTGGGAAGCCACTCAGTGTATCAAGGTCCCTCGATGTCACTGTGTTCCTTGGTGACTGTCTCTCTGAGGCATGTGGAAGAGTGACCAGGTCCAGAAAAAGTCGGATGCTAGGCATGCTAACTCAGGCTCTCTCAGCCTAAGTTTCCTCGTCAGTAAAGCGGGAAGGAAACAAGTACTTATGAAGCACCTCCCATGTGCTGGTGCGGTGCTAAGTGCTTTACAAATATGAGCCCATCTGATTCTCACGACTACCCTGAAAGGTAGGTGCTATTATGATCCCATCTTACAGATGAAGAAACTGTGGCAGACAAAGGTTAAGGGACTTACCCAAGGTCACACAACTGATAAGTGCCTAAGGTAGGATTTGAAGTCAGGTATCCCCTAATTTCAGGGCTAATACCCTATCCACTGTGCCACCTAGCAGCCTCAGGTTAAAAAATAGGTTAAGAACCTCTGTCCTAGGGGCAGCATTATTAACATGACGGTGTCCTAGTGGACAGAGTGCTGGGTTTGGAGTCAGGAAGATATGGGTTGGAATCCTGCCTCCTACACCTGCTGAAAAGGTGGCCCGGGGCGAATCACTTAAGCTTTGTAGGTCTCCATTTTCATATCTGTAAGATGGGGAGTTAGTTCTATCACCTGTAGCACTGACCTCACAGGGGTCCAAATGGGGGGCTCAAACGAGATTATATGTATATGTATATGTATATATACACACATATATAAACAAACACATATGGCACTTTTTTGACAAAATACAATTTGTCAGGCATAACAATAATATCAACAATTATTATAATATACAATATTAACACAATAATATTATATACAATATACTAGATAATATAAAGTATAACAAATGCTTATTATAATATTAAATAATAATGATAGCACGATGAGAATTGTCCTGCTTTCCCATGTGTACCTCATAGAGTTGTAAGCATATGGCATCTATGAATCCAACTTGCATACTTGGGATTTTATTTTTCTTCTCTCTGTTCATCAGGTCCTGAAAACAAACCAAGACAAATCTGCCTTTACTTAAAGGACAGTATGAGAGGGGATTATGGAAGTTGAGTGGGCTAGCTGAGGAGGGCCAGCCCCAACCATACAAGGAATCAAGCTCCAGCCTTCATTTCTGTCTAATCCCACAGAGAACTGACCGTGTTCTGTACCTGACAAATAGGGTGGTCCAGGAACACTGGGAATGATGAATGAATGGAAAGCATTTATTAAGCGCTTGCTGTGTGCTAAGTGCCAGGGATCCAAATGCAAAAAGCAAGATGGTCCCTGCCCTCAAGTTGCTTACATTCTAATGGGGGAGAAAATGATGATGTCAATTGAGTTCCTCTTCCAGGGGTGGGGAACCTGCAGCCTCGAGGCCACATGTGACCCTCTAGGTCCTCAAGTGCAGCTCTTTGACTGAATCCAAACTTCACAGAACAAATTCCCTTCATGAAAGGCCACATGTGGTTCCCCACCCCTGAAGTCCAATTTGAAAGGATCAAGGACAGGCTTGGGACCCTGTAACCCAGTGGAGGCCTCCCTACTTACTGTGGGCTCAATGTTCAACTCCTTTCGCTCTCTGTCTCCTTGGTCAAAAAATTCCGCGGCTACCAATTCTGCTATCTGAAATAGAGCAGAGATCCCAAAGAGATTTATGGGGCTAGAATTTGTTTTTAAGAATCATTCAACACTCAATCCACTTGAGTTTCCCAATTGCAATGGTAAAATGCAAACCAAGCAGTAATGACCAATAAAATGACATCTATTTATTTATCAAGGGAGGCAGTGTGGTCTAGTGGATACAGAGCTGGATTTGGAGCAAGGAATACACTAGTTCAAATCTTGTCTCAGGTATTTGCTAGCTATGTGACCCTGGACAAGTCACTTAACCCCCCTGTGCCTCAGTTTCCTTGTCTGTAAAATGAGAATGATAATAGTACCCACCTGGCTGTTGTGAGGACAAAGAGAGAGAATCTATAGAAAGTGGTCTATAAGGGTTATCTATTAATATCAAAGTAGCCACAATAGTGTGGGAGTGAGCTTCCCCAACCAATCAGAAGGGCAAGGAGCACTTGAGATCAGGGAGACACGGGCTTTTTTGCTTTCACAGGCCAGAGTGGGAACATGACCTTGAGTCTCTACGGAGAAGGTAAACTACCTTAAGTAAATGTAAACAGAAAAAGAAGCCTCAACTATCCCATGGGAGCACTTGCACATCACCCTGGGCCACAGTGGCACTCTGCCTTCTTCATTCTATTTCTATGTAACAGCTGACCTGGCCTGGGCTTGGTGAGGGAATCCACCACGCTCCTTTGTCCTGCTGTGACCCAGGATGACTGGCCTCTTGTGAGCAAACTCCCCCAATTAACCTAATCAACCCTAATAAAACCTATATTAATAGGTTTTACACCAAACTGGTGTGAACCCCTCTTTCTCTGGTATCTCAGTATTCTCAGAGGGTCTCCCACCTGACGATTGGCATAATCAGGGCAGAAAAGATCTGCCCCCTCACATCTGGCACAGTGGGCAGGGGAGTCTGTCCCTTTACATAGGCTCTCCATGGAATTTAGCATTAGGTAGCACAGGAATTTTAAGATGGAAAATATGGCGCACAGCCAACGATTCTTCGTAAATACTGTTAAAAATAGCCCAGCAGATATTCCGCAAAGGCCTCAGCCGGCTCTGAAACAGAACGTATTGTTAGGATGGCTGTCTAATCCATCATGGTTATACAAATTGGTGACATACCCGCTGCTGAACAGGCCACGGCTTGGTTATTGCAGAGAGATCACAGGCTGTCATCAGCATCGCTCTAGAGAGGGCAGAAAGACAAACACCAAATTCCTTTTGGTTACTCTTTGAGGAAGGGGATGTTCACTCAAGTCCTCCTCTGGTCCCTCATCTCGGCATGGAGAAGACTCTGCTGGCAAAGTGTGGGCCCCCATCATGCTGGAAAGGCCTATTGTGCCACTGAGTCAGAGTCAGGACCTGGGTTCAGTTCCTGCAATTGCTTGCTACCTGAGGGATCGTGGGCAAGTCATAACTTGGGCAGATGTTAACCAGGCCTCAGCTGTAGGATTAAGTGCCCTCTGAAGTCTCTTCTAGCTTTAGATTTATGATCCTATGGTTTTAATTGTAGGCCCTGCATGGACTTTTATTTGATACCAGTCTAGCCAAGGTTATGGGGGCTCACGGTTGGGTTGGTCATGGCATGAATTTTTCAACCCCAGCAATGGTCAAAGACTCCACCAAGTCATTGAAGGATTCTGGTCTTTGCCCATGGAAGGCAACACCTTCACACTACGTCTTCCTCTACTTTGATTCCTTGTGAATTTGTGATTTATTCAGGGCAGGCATATCCTCCATTGATGCACACAGTCTCATCAAGACAGTAATGGCCTGGGGGCCAACTTTCTAAGGATCAGCCTCTTTAAACTTAGCTAGAGTGGTGCTCACATAGAGTGCACGGGGTTCTTCTGGATTGAATGAACCCTACCAGCCATAGCAGTAGAAGGATTTAGGGCAAGAAAGCAGATCTATCACAGACTGGGGTTTAGGACAATGTTTGATACCTAGTAAGTGCTTAGTAAACATTTACCGACTGACTGACATTTACCAATATCAAGGGAATTAAGCCTGAGAAGGAGTGCAGAGAGCAGTGGTTAAAGTGCTGCTCTTGAATTTAAGAAGACCTGGGTTCAAATCATGCCTCAGACACTAGATGTGAGTGCCATGGCCAGACAGGAAAGGTCACCTTCAATTGGATCAAAAGTCAGTCCCTTCCCTCACCCTTTTCTTCTCTCTCTAAAATAATAGATATAAATGGCTAGCATGCTGACCTTGGAGTCAGAGAGACCTGAGTTTGGATCCTGCCTCAGATATTTACTTGCCATGTGAGCTCAGGTGAGTCAACTACATCCTCTGGGCCTTCATTTCCTCATCTGTAAAAAGAGGGACTTGGGCTCCATGATCTCCAAAATCCCTTCCAGCTGTAGGCCCATGAGCAACTTCTGTTAACACTCTTCAAATAGAGGCAAGGAGAATTCAGAGACTCGAGGAATAGCCAGCTTCACAGAGCACTTGAAGTTTGCAAAGCATTTTACAAGTATTATAATGAGGAAAGTCTTTTATATCACCCTGGCAGTAGTAAGAGTAAAGTCCACTTGATTTTTTTTTTTTTGATCAAGAACCTGACTCAGTGTTTACCTGCCAAGGGAACAAAACACTTCTCAGTTCTAAACTAAAATTGAGTCCTGGCTTCTTTAGACTCTCAGCTCGAGTGATGAAGCCATTCTGGTTACGAGAGGTTATTTGGTCATCGGAGAAAGGTTCCTGGAAGACAGATGTCTCCCTTGTCACTTTTGAGGTCCGGTTGGCTCTTGACTTCATCCATCATTCTCCTGAAACCGTCGTCTTCAGAGCTGGCCCCTCCTGGCCAGATCTGATGGTCTTTTCTCCATCCTCTCCCTTTCTGAATGGGTCCCCTCCACTGATTCTCTATAGCACTTGGTACCGATGACTTCTCTCTCCTCCTGGCTCCTCTCTCTTCTTCAGGTTGTTGTGATGCCGCTTTGTTTGGGGACAGAACCCTCCGCTGCCTCTGGTGGCTTCCCATCCACATTAGAAGACCTAATTCTATGGCCCTCCTCAGTCCATTTAACTTTCATTATACCCACTACCTCATAATGTCTCTGTCTCTGACTCTCTCTCTGTAGGTATTATATATGTATATTATATGTATACACATACTGTATAGTGTGTATTATATTATAAATGTATATGTGTGATACATTATTACATATATATCATATACATGCATACAATGTATGTTGTATATATATCATAATACATACTATGTGTATTGTATGTATATATATGGAGAGAGAGAAAGAAAGAAAGTATATTGTACATCATATAAAAGTGCTTTTAAAATTTGGAAAAGTGGTGTCTGGTGTCTTAGGCCTTTCTGCCCCAAAGTTTTGTTGTATATAAACAGAAATCCTCTTCTCTGCCTCTTTGTATCTAAAAATTTAGATTGGAATTTTCAGTATTTATAATATATGATATAAAATACACATATAATATCTAATACACTTTTTTGAAATGTTGTTTGCCTTGTTAAAATTTGAGCTGCTTTAGAAGTGAAATTTCAGTATTTATAATATATTGTATGCATATATACATGTGTATATATCTATATATGTCTGTCTGTCTATCTATTCACCCATCTCTCTCTCTCTCTTTCTCTCTCATACATACTTTATTTTGCACGTTATCTGTCTTGTTAGAATTAAGCTCCTTTTGGGCAGGGACTGTATTTTTGCCTTTCTTTGTATCTCCATACTTAGCACTGTGCCTCTCCTAAAGTAAATGGTTATGTTTTTTGACTGACTGACTGACCTTCTAGTCTCCCAGATTTGCAATCTCAGCAAATTTCAGGCTTGTAAAACTCTAGTAGTTCAAATCATCCCACCTCCCAACCCCCATAAATACACTGTACTTTGGGGAAGCTCTAATTATTAGGAAGTTTTATTGTATGGAAAACTGAAATCCACCACTCTGCCTCTTTGTATCTGAAATTTTAGATGGGGATTTCCATTACTTCTTTTCCTAAGGAGGAGGAGATGGGGCATTCAGACAGGCCCAGGGCACCACTTCTCCACATTTTAAAGGCACTTCCAAAATGAAAAAGCAGTGTGTTGATGGGAAATCTTGAAGCCCTCTCACAGACCTATTGGCTCCAGCTTTTGACTTCTGACCAGACGGGAGGGCTATAGTCACTGAGTGCACCAGACATCACATCAGTGACATGAGACAGTAGACAGTGATTAGCGGGGAAAGCTCATGCCTTCAAGAATGCTACAATGACTTACAAAAATAACTCTTTGTGCTGGGGATCTTCAAAGTTGAATTGTTTCTTTCTTATAAGTTCAAAAAACTCTCCTCTTCTCCTACAAAATAAATGGACATGTTTGATTAGTTATGACAATTTTATGACAAATTTATTTAATAAAATACATAAAATTTATTTAATAACATAAAATGTAACAAAAATTATTTAATAAAATAAAATGTAATAAATAAATAAAATTTGATAAAATAAATAAATAAAATTTAATAAAATCGGGAAAACTAGTAATTGAAACCTCATGTTCTTGAAACCAGTTGGAATTAATTTATCATCAAGCGTGCATCTTAAGTTAGGGAAATGACCAGAGATATGAAAACATGAATATTTCAAGGAGAATGTTTCCCAAGGGGGACTACATACATAGTATCATAGGCTCATATATTAGGGCAAGAAAGGACCAGAAGTCCTCTAAATACATGCAGGCCTCTCTGGAGTGAGCCAAGACGGCATCTCCAGGCCTTGTCATACACCTGGCTTTATGGGACCACAGATCTGGAACTGGAAGGGATCTCAGAGGTTGCCCCGTTCACACCCTTCCCTTTACAGATGAGGAACCTGAAATCCCAGGTCAGGCAGGCAGTTAGCTGTCAAGAGGTAGGATTCAATTTCAGGTCCTCTGACTCCAGGGACAGAGCTGTTTATCCCTGCGGTCTGGTGTTAAAATAATAGACAAGACCCTATGTAATTAAGAGCCAAACTTTATAACATTCATGTCTTTATTGCCAGCTAAGAAAAGTACACATTTCATTTATATGAATAAATGGCAGGATTCCATAAGCATTAATTCAGAAGGCAGAGGGCAGACTAGAAAGAATGGGAGGTCTGCAGTCAGAGGCCCTGGGTGCAAATCTCCACTCTGCTGCTTATTGCCTGTGTGACCATGAATAAGACACTTCATCTCTCTGGGCCTCAGTTTCCTCATTTGTAAAAAAGAAAGGATTGGGTAAAGTGATCTCTAATGTCCATCGTCTTATGAACCTTAAGATGTGTTTTTGCTCTAAATCCTATCAGCCTAAGAGAGAGGGACCAAAGTGGATAATAGTGGTTTGGGGCAGTTTTATGGAGAGGGTTTTATCGCTAAGTTGTAACTTATGTAAAATAGTGGAAAAAATACGAAAATATTCTAGATGGTATTTCTTAGTAAACCAGGATATTCAATTAACCAGAAGACCTCATTATCAAGTGCTTAAGATAAACAGGAATGTTCCCTGAGTAACCACAGATGTGCTCTAAGCCCTACAGTTGGACAGCTGCTTTCTGGTATGAGACAGTGGACAGCTGCCATAAAGAAATGTCTTGATTCACAAAAAACAGGGGGTAGAGATGGGACCTGTGATTTCACTGGCACAGGAAATCCTGAGACGAGAAAACTCCTGCCACTGCAGGCTAAGCCTTCTCTGGGGCCTTGTCCTACAGAGCTGTCCCAAGGACTGGGAGGGTAAGTGATGCTCAAGGTCACGCAGCCACTAGGTGCCAGAGCTGGGACTTGAGCCCAGATTGACCTGATCTCAAAACCTGCTCTCTATCCACTACATGAGGCTTCCTATTTTAGAAGAAATACCAGAATAAAACACCTGTTTTATTTCCTACAGAAGGAAATGCCAACATAATGGGTTCCATTCCTTGTAATGGGCAGCTAGGCGGTGCTGCAGTGGATAGAGCACTGGGTTTGGAATCAGGAAGACTCATACTTATGAGTTCAAATCCGGCCTCAGATACTTTCTAGCTGTGTGACCCTGGGCAAGTCACTTAACCCTGTTTGCCTCAGTTTCCTCATCTGGCAAATGTGCTGGAGAAGGAAATGGCAAACCACTCCAGTATCTTTGCCAAGAAAAATTCCAAATGGGGTCATAAAGAGTCAGAAGTGACTGAAAAATGACTGAACAACAACAAATTCCCAGTAAACCCTGCACAAACCAAAAAGTCATTAGAATTTGTCACCCTCCTCCCTTCCCAAAGGCACAAGCATTTATCTTAAATGACAAAGAATTCTGGAACACCAGTCTTTCACTGTCATCAGAGATGAATGAGGGTGATAGATAAAACCCATGGGTCATCACGGCCCCTCATTTTTTCTAGCAGCTTCCACTGTTTTCCCTTCCCAACATTTCCCAGGGCTCATGACCAGAAGCCACTGTTTTCCAGGTAGTTTTGACAGAGGGTTTCAATAAATAGTAAAATCATCAGATTCTGAGAAAGACTCCTTGAGCCTAACTAGGTCTCTGATTCCAAGCCTGAGACTCTTTCCATTGTATGCAAGAGTGAGAAACTGACTATTCACTTTATACTTAGGCCCGGATGTGTAATAATGGATAGGACAGGGACTGCACTGGTGATTAGAGCTTTGATTCATAGTTATAAGGAAATCCCAGGATAGGACACTTCCTCTACCAAGGCAGGGCAGCATCTCTGTAACCTGTAGTCTTAGGGAGTCGTCTGAGTGCACTAAGAGTTAACTTATTGTCCAGGCTTGCACAGCCAGTATAGGCCAGAGTGTGAATCCAGTTCTCTAGGCCATATGCCATGCTGTCTCTCATAATGGATACATATCCAAAATACACGAAGGATGTGCTATCATTTTTAGTGTTAAATAAAGCCAAAGAAAGAAGCTTTATTGTTTTTCTATGTTAGACTAAGCTGTTAAACAGCTCTTCTAAAATTGTCTGTATTGTTTAAAATAAAGTTCCCAAGATGAGATTCTGAACAATTTTACCCAGTTCCAGACATTCCCAAAGAAATGCCATTAGTCCCAAGGTGGGCTCTTTTCACTTACTTGATGTACAGTGCCAAGTCAGTGGCTAAAATTGCCTGCTTGATCATTTTCAGTGTGGCCTTGTATTCATCAATCGACAAGCCACTGAGAATCTGGTTGCCCTTGACAAAGGAAAACACAGCGTTAAGACTTGACCTGGAGTCATAGTGAAGGAACAATAATTAATAGCTGTCAGCCAGTCAGCTAACTAGCATTTACTGAGTACCTACTATGTGACAAGAAATGGAAAGGAAAAGGAGAATGTGCGAAGACAAAATTGCACCCTAAAATGTCCCCATCTTCTGAGCCCGTGAGGATAGATGAAGGCAACTGTTTATTTCAGCTGTGAACTGCTGGATGACTTTCCCCATCAATGGCACCCTACTCTGGGGCCATTTTGAAATGAACTGATCCATGGTGGAGTCTGTCATCTCTGTGGTTTGCCTCTGTACCCTTTCTCTAACCGCTGTAAGTGCTCTAGCCCTGAAATCTATAGTCACCTCTTATCTTCACCTTGAAGTTACTACTTTAAGTGAGAGCAAGGAAAACACTTCTAATCTGTCATCAGTGCTAGAGCATCCAGAAGGCCTTTCCCAGCCCCTGCACCCCAGCTACTAGACCTGGCGCTTTGAAGGATACATTCTCCCAACTCCATATGTCTCTTGTATATACCTATCTATGGGCATGTTGGTTAGACTGTAAGCTATCTGAGGGTAGAGACCATTTTTTTCTACTCTTTATATCCCTAATACTAAGCACAGTACCTGGCATATGGTAAGTGCTTAATATATGCTTGTTGATTCATTGAAAGGATTTAAAATTGGGGGTAATTAAAATAATTTCTCTATTTCTATTGTTTACCACCTAAGAATTTGGACTTTAGGGGTAGAGGGACTTAGAAACAGGGTCTGGGGACCAGCTATAGGGATAGTACCTTGAGATCTATGGAGCAAGTGGGCTCAGGGTTAAAAAAGGCCAGTGACATGCTCCACTTGTGGCATGGGCTTCTTGGGTACCTCGCAGAGGCAGGGCAGTGAGCCACCCAGAGTTCTTGGGGCTGTCTTGGCAGTGCATAAGTTCTGCGGGTCTTACTTGATCATAAAAACAAGCAGCCTCTCAGTATAGGCCTGATAGGGTATTGGCCTTCATCTCTTGTCCATGGACTGGCCTAGCTAACGTCAGAGGGCTCCTCACAGTGTGGTTTAGAAGACAGGGCACTGGATTTGGAGTCAGGAAGACGTGGCTTTAAATCCTCTCTTAGACAGTTACTATCTCTGTGACCCTGGACAAGTTGCTTAACTTCCCAGACTCCGTTTCCTACTCTGCAAAATGAAGGGGTTGAATTCTGACCTCTCAGAACCCTTCTACCTCTAAAGCTTTGATCCTATAGTCACCAGGATGCCTGCAGAGAGAGACATTGAGAGACATTTTTTGGACAGTTCTTTTTAAAGGCCTCTGCTCTGAGGCCCTCTGCTTCTGGTGACTGGTGACTCCTTCCTTGGGACTGCCATTTTAGGAAGGATCCCAGCTATGCTTCACCTCACTCTTGCCTCACCTCTCTCTGGTGATCTTGTCTTCTCCTATTCTAGTACCGTCCTCTCCCCTAGCTATCCACTCCAGCTGTCTTCTTCCATTAGAATTGCAAACGTCTTGGGGCCAGGGACTGTCTTGCTTGTATTTGTATCTCCATCATGTAGCACAGTCCCTCGCATGTATAATTAAATGTTTACTCACTCTATATTCTATGTATCTATGTATCTATCCATCCATCCACCTCTCTAACCACATCTCCTTGTTAATCCAATCTTATCCCTCTCTATATCTCTATGTATCTCTGTATGTATCTATATATTTTTGTATCTATCTATGTATCTGTCTATCGCCTGTCCACCCATATTCTCTCTCTCTCTCTCTCTCTCTCTCTCTGTCTCTCTCTCTTTCTCTCTCTCCCTAGGCTAAAGAGAGACTGAAATCTGCATGGATGAAAGGGGAATCCGCAGTGATGACATCAAAGGCTCTTGAAATATGATTTTCCCTACAATTAAATTCTGATGAAGTCTCTGACCTAAAATTGTTAAAGGGCTGGTTTCAGACTCAAGAAGACATTAATTAGCCCAACATCAGCGGAGGGAGTTTCTTACATGAGGGAAACCACAGTTCATGCTGGAAAAAACAAAACAAAACAATAATCTGCTTCTGCAGAATCTGTGATCTCACTGATGTTGGTACTGTCACTGTTAACACTGATTGAAGCCCATTGTGTGACCCTGGTCCATGGTTGGGTGGGACACTCTACTTAATGTGCTGAGTGTCATCCTCTAATCATCTTGACATTGTGTGCATATCATGGGGACATCCAGGCTGCCCAATGATCATCCCTCACTTTCTCGAGGGACTGACTCACTTTTTTTTTTCCTTAGCCACATCCACACATCACTCGTAATTATATCCATTAGCATGGAAAACCACAGGTTCTGAAGAACTGAACTGTTATTAAAAGGTGAAAGAAATTTAAATTCTAGCTTAAAAAGCAAAAATTTCAGGAAAATGACCTCTTTTTTTTTTTTTTGCTAGTATTAACCAATCAATCAAGAGGTATTCATTAAACATCTACTAGATGCTGGGCACTCAGGTAAGTGCTGTACCAAAATAAACAAGTAGCCAGTGGGCTGAGAACCCCTTTTTTTGGCCCTTCCTCCCTATCCCCATGTCCAACGCCGAGACTGAATATTCTCACAGAACCAAGTAGCTGGTGCTATGGTGGGGAGTGGGCTTCCTCTGTGGGCTATGATGAGACTTTCTAGGGGGTGATTTGCTCTGCAACGTAAGGTCATAGGATCAAAGTTTTAGATGTGGAAGGGGACCCCTAGCCTACGAAAAACAACCCCAGATAACTAGTGACTGGTCCCAAATCACACAGGGAATAAGTGGCAAGGTTGGTGTTTGAACTGAGGTCCTCAGAGTCTTTCCGGGGCAGCCCACTGCCTCCACAGGTCATGATCTACTTAAAGAGGAACCATGACACAGCAGGGAGTGAGAGTGGAGGGAAGGGATGGAATCTACCTTATGTTTTTCTTAGGGTGATTTCACTGATGTAGGATACTCCCAGATGAGAAAACTCCCTCCCCCAATGCAGGTCTACACTTTTGTCTGCAACACAGACCCTTAAAAGTCACCTAAGGCACTAAGAGATTAAGTGACTTGCCCAGGTCAGCTGGCTGGCATGTGTCAGGTCAGGAGGGAGATTTGAACCCAGGTCTTTCTGGTTCTGAGGCCCGCTCTCTATCCACTATGCCCTGCTTCTTCTTGTACTAAAACAACAATGCCCCTGCCCCCTTTCCCTCAGTTATTAACTTCAATCTATAACCAAAAAAGGGATAAAGTTTTTTTAGTGGGTAGGAGTTGTAATTGTTTGATTTTTCAAGACGACGTCTTTGTCTAGAAAGGAATGAACAGGTCGACGGGCAGCCGGCTGCCAAGAACAAAGCCAGGGGCTGCTAAGTGAGCGCAGTCCAGGGGCCCCAGGATTTGGAGCTGGGAGTCTCCATCCCCAGGCAGCCCAGCCCTGCTTTGTTGGGGGAGGCCTCTAAGTGAGATGGTCCAGACGACCACGTCAGCTTCCCTTGCGAGCTCTGTTTAGGCAGGCTTGGGAGCACCCAGAAGGCAGCCACACTCGGAAGCTTTCAAACAGCTTGGATTTTCCTTCCTTACCCAAAAAGGAATAAAGTCTGCTTAAGAATTTATGATGCTGGGAATCATTCCAAAATCTAAAAATAAGACTCCAATAACCAAGTATTTGTTTTTTGAATCACACAACTACAAGTTAGATACTTACTGGGCTGTTAAGGATCATGAGGCATTGGTCGAAATGATGGTGCTCCATTATGGAGTGGCAGTAAAGCTGAGCGAGGGGATGTTCACTTCTGTGCCGTGTTCCAGTGGATAAAGGAAGAGAAAGGTCAGTTAGTCAGTCAAGTAGCATTTTCCTAGTGGTTACTCTATGCTAAGCACTGTGCTAGGCACTGGGGATATGGGGAGAGTGGAATGTTGATAAAAACATGTAGTCACTCAAGGGACACCTATATTCCCCTAAAGAGAGATGACTTGTCTGTTTTTTCGAGCCATTGTCTCTCATTTTCCCCAGGGAGGAAAGGAGAGGGAGCCTGCCTGCCTGAATAAACCAAATAACTACATCTGAGAAAGGGAAGGGTGCGAGCCTGCCCTAACTGGGCCAACTGCTGTGCTACAAGATGGACCATTTGATTGGTTTCTTTTGTGATTAAAAATAGCCCATACATGAAGAATTCCCTATGGCGTGACAAGCAGGGGGCAAAGAACAGTGAAAAGCTCTATGGATCAAAGGTAAAGAAAAGGTCTCTCTGAACGAATCGTGAAATCACAGACTCTGCAGGAGCTGTAACAGGCCTTAGAAGCCAGACAGTCCAGCCCGTACTTGGACAATGATCCCCTCTCCAATGGCCCCCCAAAGTGGTCTCCTGACTTCTCTGTCCTAAAGACCTCTACCTCCCAAAGGAGACCCTTCCATTCTGGGGCAGCTCTCATTCTCAGGAACCAGATCACACTCTGAGCTTACAGGGCCCTTGGAGTCCAACTCCGTCATTTTACAGATGAGGAAACTGAGACACAGATTGGTTAAGTGACTTGTTCAGGGTCCCACAGCTAGTAAGTGTCTGAGGCTGGATTTGAACTCCAAGTCCAGAGCTCTATTCTTTATAGACCAGGCCTCTCAAAAGTTAGTTAGTCCAATGCCTATAAGGTAGATAAGGAAACCGAGGCCTAGAAGGGCTATATAGCATGGTCAAGAATACAGAGGCATGGGACAGAGGTAGAATCTGAACTTAGGTCCTATGCCTCTAGAGCCAGTGTTCTTTCCACCGTCCTCTGCTGCCATGTTTTACTTAGGAAGAGGCATGGTTCCATTGGGATACATGCCACTCAAGGCAGCTCACACACTGATGGGGCCAGAGATACAACCAAGCACTCAAGGGTGAACAATGAATTCAATTCTATATCCAGTTACAGGAAACAAGGGACCATTAAATAAATAATTTTCAAGAAAACACAACTTCCTAGGTGTTTGGAAGGTCCACCAACTAACTGGCACTCTTTCAATTGCTGATGAATTACAATTTTATTCTAATGGATAGAATGCTTGACTGGGAGTCAGGAAGACATGGGTTTAAAGCCACCTCAGACATTTCCTAGCTCTGTGACCTTTGATAAGTCAAATGCTCTGTGCCTCTGTGTTTTCACATCTGTAAAATGAAGGGATTGGACCCAATGGCTCCCAAGGTCCCTTCAGTGCAGCATCAATATCATATGTGATTAACTCGCTCTGTGAATTAGCCCTTTTTCTGTTTAGTTCTAGACAGAAGAATTGAGAGAGATAGCAGAAACTGCAGAAGGGTAGATTTGGCTTGATATTTAAAACAAATGAACTAAATAACAATTGGTGTTATCTCAAAGTGAAATGTCTCAGCAGGCAGTGAGGTCCCCATCACTAAGGGTATTCAAGTAGAGACTAAATCACCACTTGTTGGAGATGGAGAGTATAAGTGTGTGCCTGTGTGTGTGTGTGTGTGTGTGTATGTGTGTGTGTGTGTGTGTGTGTGTGTGTGTGTGTGTGTATTCATTCCTGTTCAGATATGGTTTGGAGTAGACAGCCTCTGAGGTTTTTCCTGCTCTAAAATTCAATGATTCTATAAGGCAGGGCCACTATTGTTATCCCTATTTCACAGGTGGAGTAACTGAGGCTCTGAAAAGGGAAGCGACTTGTTCAAAGTCCCACAGCTAGTAAGTAATGGGGCAAGGTTTCAACCTCGACCTTCTGGCTTTAAGACTAGGAATTCTATAATGGTGATGATGCATTTCTATAAAGATTTAAGGTTTTCAAAGTGCTTTACAAATATTCTCTCATTTAACCCTCATAACAACCCTGGGAGGTGGATGCTATTATCATCTCCATTTGACAGATGAGGAAACTGAGGCGGAGGGTCACACAGCTACTAGGTGTTTGAGGCTGGATGGGAGCTGGGGTCCTCCTGACTCTGTCTGTGACACTGAGCTGCCTTAGCTCTCCCGCCTTAGGACTTTCCAGAGGAGACTTTCTGTAGCTCGGAGGAGTGTCTATGATTTATGAATGACATGCTAACCAACATCACGCAGGAGGCCTACACGCCCATTCTCTTTACTCAATTCCTTCAGGCCTTAGGAGAAATGAATCCCCAGCAAAGAGCTTGTTTCTTCTTTGAAGAGAAGAAAAGTTTCCGAACATCTCTCTCTGTGTGGCATAAATCGAAGATTCTCAGGGTGGGAATGAACTTGGGAGACCATTTGGTCTAACCCACAACTGAACTGGTCTAGCCCAGTCCTCTCGACCACACCTATCAAGCCTCCAGGAAGCCATCTGGGGACCTCTGGTGAGGGGAGAAGGCGCCGTCTCTCAGGGCAGGCCATTCCATGTTAGGCTAGCTCTTCCTGTTGAGAAGTTCTCCCAACACCAAGCCAACCATTGGGCATTTGTAGCTCTCTCCTGCTCCTCCCGGTTCTGCTCTCGGGTTCCTCCAAATGACCTCCATTCAAATATTTGAAAACAGCTCTCTGTCCCCTAGTCTTCTCGTCTCTAGGTCCATCAGCCTCTATTTCTTCAACTGCTTCTCTTTTGGCATAAACTAGAGACCTCCGCCACTAGCCATTCTCAACTTTATAAATGCCCTTCCTACAACATGATGACCAGAACTGAACCCAATACTCCTCCATCCTGCAGACACGTGGTTGGCATGCTGAGTTTATTCTTCATGTCAAGAGGCACACTTCCATCTTTTTTTAACTCAACAGATTTAATCCGAAGAACATTCAGAGAATATTCATGATGTGTGGAACCTTGGGTTAGCAGCTGGGGTCACAAAGATGATGTACTGAGTCTCAGGGAGAGGGAAGCCATCCAAATCTGTCTGAGAGCTTTGGGCCTAGAAGCAGGAAGACCTGAGTTCAAATTCAGTCTCTGACACATAATGGCTGTGTGGCACTTGGCAAGTCATTTAACCCGTCTGCCTCAGCCTCCTCAACTATAATATGGGGATTACACTAGCACTTACCTCCCAGGGTTGTTGTGAATATAGAATAAGATAACTTTTTTAAAATGCTTAACATAGTGGCTGGGACATAGTTGGTGCTTAATAATGCTTGACTTTCTTCCTTCTTTCCTTCTCCCCCAAAACTGGTGATTTAGATCCTCACAGGGAATTAAAAACAAAAAGAAAAGGCAAAAGGATGGATGAGAACTAGGGAATCACAGGGGGTGGGTTGGGTTTCAGCACCTCAAGCTAGCTGTTTCTCATTAAGCAAAAGCCAGTCTGGGTGACACAGCAAATGAGGGCAAATTATGCCCTGAACCTCTTCTTACCATCTAAAAATACTGATTCATGAGGCAAATCAGAGGCTGAGAAATACCGCGAATTTCCTCTTTACAAAAATACTTAGCACAAGTATGTGCCCTTGCAGCTGGGACTTTTCTCTCTCTTTGCTCAGAGACATTTGGGGTAAATCAGATCTCTAGGAATGAGGTCTGCCCCTCCCGCCCAAATCTGCTCCAGGCGGCCCCCACCTTGGGCAGCGGGGAACCAGGCTTGCTGGGCATCGGCAGCCGAAAATGCTGACTTGCCCAGGCACAGGGAGAGGAAGGAGGGGCTCCTGTCACCGCCTCAGAGGCCTTTCCTCATCTCATGTGTAGCATTTGTACAAACAGTCTTTACATTAGCAGGTTCATTTAGAAACATTACAGAAGACATCAGGGACTAGATGAAATTCTAATCAATCCACAATCAACTAACTTTAGAGAACTGAGGATAAAAATGATTTTCCTTTCTCTGAGCAGGTAAGACCAGAGATTTAGGACTGGAAGGGCCCATAAGTCATTGAGTTTAACCATCTAATTTTATAAACGAGCAAAGAGAGGTCCAATGAAGTTAAGTGACTTGCCCAAGGTCACACGAGTGGCCATATTAGCCTAGATGCCAGCTCAGGTTCTTTGACTCTAAAATCCAGTGCTCTTTCCACTGCTGCACATGGCCTCTATTGTGGATTACAGATATTGAATGGTCAGGCAAGGCCACGGGTTGATTTGTCTTGCTTAACTGTACTTGCTTATGAAGTCTGGGATGTGGAGGTAGGAGTCATTGAAAGTGATGGTGGTATTAAAAAGCATCAATACAACATGAATATTAGGGAAAACAAGGAAATTAGGGGTGAAATAAAAAGTCTCATCTGCATAAGCCCTGAATATTAAAAAATCATAAAAAAAGAAGAAAACTAACCAGACCTGGTATAGGGAAAGGGCTTAACCAAACAAGGGATGGGGAAATCATAAAAGATAAAACAGATAAGATTGATTACATGAAATTGAAAAGCTTTTGCATTAACAAAATCAACGTACTTAGGACAGTAAGAGAAGTTATTGACAAGGAAAAAAAAATCTTTGCATGACATATCACTGATAAAGATCTCTCTTGTCCAGAGTATATAGGGAATTAACAAATATAGTGAACACAACATAACACAAATATCTAAAGACGAGAGCCATTCCCCACTGGATAAATGGTTCAAGGATATGAATAAATAATTTTCAAAAGAAGAATTGGACACTATTAAAAGATAACTGTGAGGTTTCATCTTGCACCAAGAAAACTAATAAAGATGATGATAGATGAGAAGAGTCAATGCTCGAGAGGCTAAAGGAAGACAGGTGCACTAATACGCTACTCGTGGGCAGCTAGGTGGCACAATGGATAGAGTGCTAGACCCAGAGTCAGGAAATCTGAGTGCAAATTCAGCCTTAGACACTTGCTAGCTGTGCGACCCTGGGCAAATCACTTAACTCTGTTTGCCTCAGTTTCCTCATCTG